CTTGTTTGCTCTTTGGTATATATTGATTCAGGTTTTAAGGAGTTTTAGCTGTTAGCACCAGAAGTTTTTTTCTCTTTCTCTTACAGCTAAAGAATATATCACACCATTCATCAGACCTGTCATGCAGGCTCTTCTTCACATTATAAGAGAAACAGAAAATGATGATCTTACCAATGTAATTCAGAAAATGATCTGCGAGTATAGTGAAGAAGTTACTCCTATTGCAGTAGAAATGACACAGCATTTGGTATGTTATTTGATCAGTAATGTATGCATTACTTAGATTACAGCAGGTATTTTCACAGAGCTTACTGTATATCAGGCACCATTCTAAGTCCTTGATACATATTTTAACTCATTTAATTCTCATACAGTCCTGTGTGAGGAATATTCCTATATCGAAAGAAAATGTGGGTTATAAAAAGGTTATTTAACTTGCCCAAGTTAAAAGGGGTGGGGCTGGGATTCACACCTGTGCTGTGTGCCTCTCCAGCGCAGAGGTTTTGACATGTACTTACACTGCATCATGACTAACTTGTTTGTGTGGTTTCCTAGAATGCTTTGCACCAACTTGAAATACTAGTTATAAGCAGGTTTTTAAAGTTAAATTTTTTAAAATAGTTATTTTATATTTGAACTTTGTGTACAGTACATAGCCCTGAACTTTCTGAGAATTAACAATGTAAATTATTTAACGGTAATAGAAAATATGGACATGTACCCAGCAGCTATCCATTCATATTCCCTATACAGTGATATATTTGGTGTAGTTTATAGTCTTGCTAAATATTAAGATTTGAAGAATCTGAGTCTTGTTATTTGCTGTGAACGTTCTTAACAGCTGATACTGAATTGGGTAAAGACATTTGAGTAAATATAGTTGTTGCTTAGTCGCCAAGTTGTGTCTGACTCTTGTGATCCATGGACTGTAGCCCACCAGGCTCCTCCATCCATGGGATTTCCTAGGCAAGAATACTGGAGTGGGTTGCTATTTCCCTCTCCAGGGGTTTTTCTCGGCCCAGGGCTCGAACCCGCATCTCTTGTATTGATTGGCAGGTAGATTCTTTACCACTGAGCCTCTTGGGAAGTCTGAATAAATGCATTAGTGTATATTAAAATAATACAATGCATTTATAATAAGCTGATTATTAGCTGTGGCTCCTCATAATTAATAACTTTCCTCAAAGTTATTATTATTATCTTATCGTCATTATCATTATCTTCAAAATGATTGAATTCTGTGGCAACAGAAACCTTGGTGATTAGTATTTGATGATTAGTATTTGAGCATTGTCAAATGTTGAGCTGTGCTAAGTCAGTTTAGTTGTGTGTGACTCTTTGTGACTCCATAGACTGTAGCCCACCAGGCTCCTCTGTCCATGGAATTCTCCAGGCAAAAATACTGGAGTGGATTGCCATTTCCTTCTCCAGGGGATCTTGCCAACCAAGAATCAAACCCTCAGCTCTTAGTTCTCCTACATTGGCAGGCAGGCAGGTTCTTTACCAGTAGCACCACGTGGGAAGCCCCAAATGTCAGCCAGTAATACTAATGTTCATAATATTAAGCATTTTTTATGCCTTGCCTTATTTAATCCTCACAGTATCTCTATGAAAATGTCAGGAAAAAGAGGTCAAGTAGTCTGTTTAAAGTGACCCAGTAAGGGGTAGAGCAGTACCATTTACTATATAATATTAATTGATTTGGAAATGCCAATCAGTTGTGCTGTCTCAGTGAGAACATTTTAAAAACTGTGTTTTAGACAAAAATATGTTTATACCGCTTTAAGGACAAAGCTTAATTATATTCTTGTCAATGTAGGCAATGACTTTTAATCAAGTAATCCAGACTGGGCCAGATGAAGAAGGAAGTGATGATAAAGCAGTTACTGCTATGGGAATCCTGAATACCATCGACACGCTTCTTAGTGTAGTTGAAGATCATAAAGAAGTAAGACAATAATCCAGTGCTGTAAAAGTTTTAGGGAATTTCAAGCCATTCTTCATCAGTTGTTCTGTGCTTTTGGGGGGCCTCTGACGAATATTCTTTGGTCATCTTCTCACATGCCCTGATTTCTGCTCTCTTTAGCTAGCAGTACCCCTTTCATGGAACTTTATAAATATTTCAGGAGGAACAGGAGGGAGGTATTTGTATTTCTGCCTCAAGGCTCTGAGTTTGGGGTCACCTTCCTCAGATCTAAAAGCATAGTGAGTCCTAGGAAAACTTATTCTTGCTAGTTTTCCTTTTTAATAAAAATTTTTTTTAGTTAGGGTATAATCCATATAACATATACCACCTTAACCATTTTTAGGTGTACACTGTATGTATTCCAAATGGATACCCTGCTTCTGTATCTGATAAGTACAATTTTATCTCATGTTTGTCTCCTTCCACTTTTTAACATTATGATGACTTTTAGGAATTTGGGATCCAATTGAGGATCATACTGACAATTAAAGGGGAATTTGTATATTCTATCTTGTATGACTTGGGTGCCCTGCTCACTGTTAAATAAATGGAGCTGACTTAAAAATTACTGGGAGTGGTAGGATTAATGCCTTCTTTTAAATAATTTTTCAGTAAGCTATTGATTTGTATCTCAGTTAACTTACGTCTGGCTGAATTACACACAAGATTTTAGTCTCTGCAGAATGATGTGGCTCCATTTTTCTAGGAAATTTTTTTTTTTTTATAGTAAACTGTACTTGTTATTTCTTGTTTGTCTGATTGTAATAGTATTGCATTAAGTTTCATTCCCAGATTGATTCACAATTTTGAAACTCCCATTTTGAAACAAAGGCTTAAAATAATTTGTTAAAAATATTGACTTTATATTTAAATGCACTGAATTATTATACATTATTTAATAATTCACTCAGTGTGCTGCAATTCCATATGATTTTTTTCTTTTTTAGATAACCCAGCAGCTTGAAGGAATCTGCTTACAGGTCATTGGAACTGTTTTACAGCAGCATGTCTTAGGTAGGTACTTCTGATTATTCTAAGAATATCCTACTATTTCATATGAGCAAGCATTGTCCTAATGACTTGGTATTCTCTTTTAGAATTCTATGAGGAGATCTTCTCTTTAGCACACAGTTTGACATGTCAACAAGTGTCTCCACAGATGTGGCAGTTACTACCTCTGGTATTTGAGGTTTTTCAGCAAGATGGTTTTGATTACTTTACAGGTAGGTCAAATCATCATAGAAATACTTAGGGTTCCCCCTGTTTGTATTCAGTTTTAGTATATCACTTGAACACAAAGTTTTGCATATTCTTAAGTGCTTCCTTGTTTGGATAAGTTATCAGTAGTAATTAATGCTCAAAGATGACCCTAGCGTTGATTTCCATTATACATTTTGATTTAGTTATCACTTGAGATTTTTTCTTTAAAACACATATTCTTAAGTTCCTGTTTCCTGTCAGTCTTCTTTGTATAATCTTTAACATAATCTTTTATGTTTACTACATATGAAGGAATGTACTTTAATGATAGGCTCATTTTTACATTTAATTACAAATGAATAATTAAAAGTGAATGTTAGGGACAAAACATTAGGACTTGCTTCTTTTTCTTAGATTTTTCAGAAACACAGCATTTATATTAGTAGAGATATTTAACTTACACTTTTTATTAATACAGATATGATGCCTCTGCTTCATAATTATGTAACAGTTGATACAGACACACTTCTATCTGATACCAAGTACCTTGAAATGATATACAGTATGTGCAAAAAGGTAGGTCACCCTAATACAAGAACATGTGAGGCTTGTGCTATAAAAAGTACAAAATTGTGAATAGACATGATACTACATTATGGTAAACATGATATCATATGAGTTTGACATAATAAGGGTTATTTAAAATTTAAAAGTCATCAACAAAGTGGCTTTGATTCCTGGATCTCTCATTGATGACTTTGACAAGTATTTATGTCTACCTTCTGGTATTAATTAGAACTGTGTTTCTTGATTTTAGTGCCTGGACCTTATCTTAGCTTATTCTCTGCTAAGTTTTGAATCAAAAGAAGAAAAGACCAGAAATGATTAGCGATGTTTTATAAAGAACATTCTCAAACTCAAAGATACAGAAAACAAACTATTGGTTACCAGAGTGGGAGGGAGGGTATAAATTATGAGATTGGGATTAACAGATACAAACTACTATACATAAAATTAATAAACAGCAAGCTCCTACTGACATTCAAATAAACAATAAACCATAATGGAAAATAATATGAAAAAGAACATGTATATGTATGTATGACTTCCCTGGTAGATCAGTTGGTAAAGAATCTGCCTGCAATGCAGGAAACCCAGGTTTGATCCCTGGGTGGGGAAGATCTCCTGGAGAAGGAAGTGGCAACCCACTCCAGTATTCTTGCCTTGAAAATCTCATGGGCAGAGGAGCCTGACAGGCTACAGTCCATGGGGTTGCAAAGAGTTGGACATGACTTAGCAACTAAACCATACGTATGTAAAAGTGGATCAACTTTGCTCTCTACCAGAAACGAATGCTGCTGCTGCTGCTGCTAAGTCAATTCAGTCGTGTCTGACTCTGTGCAACCCCATAGACGGCAGCCCACGAGGCTCCCCCGTCCCTGGGATTCTCTAGGCAAGAACACTGGAGTGGGTTGCCATTTCCTTCTCCAATGCATGAAAGTGAAAAATTAAAGTCGCTCAGTCGTGTCCGACTCTTAGTGACCCCATGGGCTGCAGCCCACCAGGCTCCTCCGTCCATGGGATTTTCCAGGCAAGAGTACTGGAGTGGGTTGCCATTGCCTTCTCCACCAGAAACGAATACAACATTGTAAATCAGCTACTTCAATAAGGAAAAAAAAAGAGAAAGGAACTCCTTGGAAGCTGTGGGTTTATGGTAGCTGTACAGTATTAGTAAATAGCAAAATTGTAAAATCTGAAGATTCATTTTTAAAAAGTCAAAAGTACTAGGCCATTTTTGGAAAATCATAAGATACATATACATGGTGAATGTTGCTTTTTTTTTCCTCTTAAGAAGTAGGAGATAAAATGATTGATTGGGGTCCTTTATTATCGGGTCAGTGTAATTGGTAACATGAGTTCCTTACATTATTTGATCAATTTTACAGACAACTCCAAATCCTTACAGTTCTTTAGACTGTAATCTGTGCAATCACTCATATTTATTTATAAAATTATCTTAAATACTTCAACAGTTACAGACTGATTTAAATGTTTTGAGACGCCTCCTTGCAGTTTATATTTTGTGTTGATCAGGTTCTTACAGGAGTTGCGGGAGAAGATGCAGAGTGTCATGCAGCAAAATTGCTAGAGGTTATCATTCTCCAGTGCAAAGGGCGTGGCATTGACCAGGTCAGTGAAGCCATTAATGATTCAGGTTGGAGGATTCAGAGAGGGAATTTTTTCCCTCCGCTTTTCGTTTTGGGGCATTTGTTATATATATATTTGGTATGTTGTTTATTATGACACCAAGATAACATGTTAAAATTGTTTAAAATTTAACCAATATTTAATAGTGATCATATATTTAATATGTATGGAAATATACAAAATGATTACCACAATAAGGTTAGTCAGTAGGAATATTTTGAATCCATGATTGCTGTTGTGGTGGGGCTCTCATATCTCAGTGAAGACTGGTTTTTCTCTAAAATTGGATTTCCCACTGAAATGCTTCAACAGTAAAAATTATTGGATCATTTAATGAAATAGGGTTTGGTTGAGGAAACCAGTAAAATTAATATGGGTAGGATAGTTAATGCCTGCTATTACTGACAGTTTTGAAATGTTTTGCTATTTTTCTCTATAGTGTATTCCCTTATTTGTGGAAGCAGCTTTAGAGAGGCTGACAAGAGAGGTGAAGACAAGTGAACTTCGAACAATGTGCCTGCAAGTTGCCATTGCAGCTTTGTATTATAATCCACACCTACTTCTCAATACCTTAGAAAATCTTCGCTTCCCTAATAATGTTGAACCAGTTACAAACCATTTTATTACACAGTGGCTTAATGATGTTGATTGTTTCTTGGGGTAAGTGACATGTACTGGGTCTTTGTTTATATAACTTTGTGAGGAACTCTGCAAAATTTTTTTAAGGAAAGGAAGAAAATATTTATTTTATTTTTTCAGGCTTCATGACAGAAAGATGTGTGTTCTGGGCCTATGTGCTCTTATTGATATGGAACAAATACCACAAGTTTTAAATCAGGTTTCTGGACAGATTTTGCCAGCTTTTATTCTTTTATTTAATGGATTAAAAAGAGCTTATGCCTGCCATGCAGAACACGAGAATGACAGTGATGATGACGATGAAGCTGAAGATGATGATGAAACGGGTAAGGGATTTGCAATGTAGGAAGCTAGTCTTACTACCTAGTTAGAAATATCACTGGACTTATTCCTTTAGCCTTTATTCTAATGAAATGTGGGATTATAGCCAAATATTTACATGTTCATTCATTCATAGACTCTAGAGTGTTAGGTCTATGAGGGCAGAACTTGCAGCTGTATCTCCATTACATAAAGCAGTTCTAGGTAAAAATGATTTTTGGTTTGGGGTTTTTAGTGTTTGTGAGCATCTAATCCATTTCACCTGTGAGACACTACAGACCACAAGAATAAAAATAGATGTTAAGTTATTGTAATGGTTCCAAAATGATAATTGCCATTTTTGTCTTTTATCCTATATTATCATAGCCAGCCTTTAAAAAAAAAATCTTGTTAAAGGTATTCCTGTGGAAATAACAAACTGTTGCTTTGCTGTTGGTATTTATTTGGTTTGGTAAATACCGTAAGGTTCAGAGCATGCCAAGTGCTGGTTCTCATTCAGTCCATTTTCCAACTTTAGAATCTATATATAATATTAGAATACTAGAATCTAGATTATTAACAGTTGTGGTTAGATTTCTGTGAGAATTTTTTCTACTTATTGCCAAACATGTATTTAAACACCAGTTCCTGGAACTCTCCCTTCTATTTATTCAGTTGTGATTTTCCAACAGTGATCATTGTCCGTGAGTTATAATGAGTAACAGAATATTTCAGAGTTAACAAGAGCACCTTTTTATGACTTGGCAGAGGAACTGGGCAGTGATGAAGATGATATTGATGAAGATGGACAAGAATATTTGGAGATTCTGGCTAAGCAAGCGGGTGAAGATGGAGATGAGGAAGATTGGGAAGAAGATGATGCTGAAGAAACTGCCCTGGAAGGCTATTCCACAATCATTGATGATGAAGATAACCCTGTTGATGAATATCAGATATTTAAAGCTATATTTCAGAGTAAGTTTACTTGTTCTGTGTAATTCAGATAGTTCCATATGACCCATTTTCCTGAATCAAACTGTTCTTCTTTACGTCTGCCCCCTAAAGAAGAGACTGCGGTATATCAAACCCAAACTAGAACATGATTTAGGATTGTTAGGCAGAGTACCCAAAGTTACTTCTCCTTAGAGATCAGAGTATTTTCCTCATCCTGTTGTTTTATTTAGATCATAATTCTGAAATAGGCACATCATAGGAAAATTGTATACTTCATTGTAGCCTCCCAGGTTTTCCCAGAAGTATCTGCCCTTATGTTTCTTCTGCTCATGTATTTGTGTGTATTTCTCCCCCTGGCTAAGCCTGTGCTTACTTACCTGAGAATTTGACCTTTTTTATTCACATGTATAGTCTTGGGAATCTTTATTCTTTTCTCCTGCTTCACAGCGTGTGGCTATAGACTACTAGGTGCCAGTTTTTGTTTTTGATCATCATTTACTTGGATTTCAACAAAACACAACATCAGTATTCTTTTACCTAGCTTAAGAAATTTAAATTGACACTGTATTTGAACCTCCTTTCCTTCCAGTTAACTACTTTGCTATTTTATCATTCCTATGCATTATTAATTTTGATGTAGGAGAAATTCTCTGATAAGCAAAGCATTAATCTTCCAAGCCCACGACAAGGTTGTGGAAATGCAACTAATTGTTTTGGAGCTATGTGGCAGGCTGTTAAAATTGATTGAAGTGCCAAGAAATGACTGGCTTTTGTCCTTGACTTGTATTTTGTATACTTAAACACATGTTAATTCCTAAAGAATGGTTTATAATAGAAGGCTCATGCACAGTAAAGGCAGTATGGTAAAAGTAGAAGATCATGAGGAAATCAGTTTTCATTCTTGGGAATTACTCTGTAAAAAAATTTTATTTTGTGGAAAGCCTTTATAGAGAACATTTTCTCTCACTCACTCACTCACCACACACACACACACACCCCCTTTCTGTAGCTAATTGAAACACAGGCGTATGTAGTTAGACTTGTTACCATTGTCTGTCAGCTTATCTGGTGTGTTTTCATTAAACAGTGAGATTTTTAACACCTGGTCTTGTGACATGCTGGGAATTCCTTCTTACGGGTTGTGTTTGACCATTTAGACTATAATATAAAAATACGTGAGTATTTTTAAGTACTGCAGAGTACATTTCTATGGAAAGACTACATATATTTAAGAAAGGTTTTTGAATAAGAAATGCAGAAAAAAATAAGAATTTATTTTGTACCGTTCATCTCATTTTTAAGGTTTCTGGGTTTTGTTTTTTAATGTAGGAATTTGAGAATTATATCCAGAATGTGGGAATGTGTCCATTTTTAAGTTGCTTTAACTCTGAATCTTCTAAGGAGTTTGAGTTAACTTTATTTTTAGTTTCCCTACTTTGTTACTTGTTAGATAACAACTGATTTAGGTTCTTTAAGTTCTTATTTACTAAAGGTGAGGATTTTGAGCGTGATTAGGTATTTGAGGCATAATGCTAAACCAGAAATTTTTCCCCTGTATGTTTTTCTCACAAGCAATTTAAAATACTGTAGGTAATTATTGGGAAAATATAAACTAGATCAGAATTTCAGTACTGGAGGTAGAGTAGAGGGAACAGAATAGTAGAGAACTACCAGGACTCTTATTGCCCTTTTTTATCTTGTTTCCTTTTTGATAGCTATACAAAATCGTAATCCTGTGTGGTATCAGGCTCTGACTCATGGTCTTAATGAAGAACAAAGAAAACAGTTACAAGATATAGCAACTCTAGCTGATCAAAGAAGAGCAGCCCATGGTATGTTAATTTACCCTCTTTAATGCAATTAATAACTTTGATACAGCTTTAAAATTTAAATTAAGTGATTTAAAATTATGTAAGAGCTACAGTTGTTGGAAGTGATAAGAAATTCACTAATCTGTAGGAATGAGATAAAGAATTTTGGTTTTGGCCACAATTTCTTGATTTTAAGTGTAGTTGAAAGCTATAATAAGGTTGTTAAATCTCATGGGGCTGGTTCGATAGTGGAAAACTCTGAAAACTGCAGTTTCTTAAAAGTATATTAAAGACATACATCATTTCTTTTTATCAGTGAACATTTCATGCTTAACAATATATAAATGCTTTTCAGTATAGGATATTTTAGGTAATACACATTCTAACAGTTTTGTAGGTCTTAATAACTGTGAGTCAGACTAGTTTTATATTCAGAGAGGGTCCTCCTTATAAAAAAAGGAAGTATTTATACCTCCTTTCTGATGTATTTATATTTGAATTTGCTTGCAGTAAATTCATTAGCTGTTACTACCTTTGGAATTGGATCCTATTGATTCAGTATTTGACTAAAAATAGGGTATTTAAAGATTTTTCTTTTTAAACAATGGGAAGTGAAAATTGGCTGAGAAGTCTATAGCATACAACAGAGTTCATCTTCTCTACATATTACACACTTCTCTTCTTTACATATGGAGGGAGAACAGAGACCAAAGTTTGGAACTTCCTGGCTGGTATTGGTGGTTAAGCTGTTGTTAATGTCTGTACTTTCAGGGATCATTTCTATAGTTTGTTAGTTCCTTCTATTCTGCAAAGTAATAAGCTGATCGATTGCTCTACCAAATGTTTACTTGTTTTTCTAGAATCCAAAATGATTGAGAAACATGGAGGATACAAATTCAGTGCTCCAGTCGTGCCAAGTTCTTTCAATTTTGGAGGCCCGGCCCCAGGGATGAATTGAGTTACCACTTTCCTTCCTGCAGTGTGGTTGTAGTGAAGAGCTTGCGTTCCTCCTAGTAGCGGTTCCAGAACTGGCTCATGTTATCTACTATGAACTAATTGATCAATAGATGGACAAAGAAACCCCAGAAGGTGGGACTTGATCATGCAACTTGGCACTGAAAATGAAACCAGAGGGATTTTGGCCAGGGAGGGAGGTAACTTGGGGGCTAGGGAGTATTTTCTTTATTTTTTGAAGAAAGTAAGGATTTGACTGAAAGTTCAAGTGACACTGTGGAAATCTACAACAGGAGGGGATGTCATGAAGGCAGCTTTTCTTTTTCTGAGGAAAAAATAGGCATGGGCTACAGGACTATTTAAAATGTCTCATTTACAGTATAAGCTCAAAGGTAGATGTAATTTTTACACCTATGAGTATTTGTCCGATTTCTGTCTCTCCTTCACCATTGGGTATCTATTCTTTATATGTAAATAAGATAAGGTAATCGATAGCCTTATTCAATCTTCATCATTTTCATTCATCAAAGATTGTTCCTATGTAGATTATTGGACATTTATTGTAGCACTACATAACTGATTAAAAAGAAAATCTGTAAATGAATTAGCACTTTCATATTGAAACAAGCCTGCTAGCCTATGTATAAAATAGCAAAATGTTTGCTGTTTATAAAAAGATGGGATGTAATGGGGTGGGGGGCAGGGGTAATTTCAAGTTATTAATTTAAAAATGAATTATCGATTTTGTACCTGGTGACTTTGTGGTGCACTCACCTCTGATAGTGACTTGAATTCGGTATGTTAAAAGGGGTTAGTGATATTTCATTGCTGCTAAAAATGGCAACTCCCTCTGTGTCCTGTTTTTTTGAAAGGTGATATTTGAAGCATGTAAATTGGATATAAAGTTCTACTCTTAAAGAGTTGATCAAAGAGTATGACTAAACATCTATATATGCAATCTATTAAAAGAACTTAATTCGGCTCTTAAAGAAAAAATGGCTGTTAGGCTTGCGTCCGATTTGTGGTCTTCATGTTCAACACTATATGGTCTAACTAAGGGGACCATACAGCGCAGAGTCTCTGCTACCATCTAGCAGCTTTCTACAACCAGGCAAGCCTCACAACCTCTCTTCCATTTTCTCATCCACAAAGTGGAGAAAATAAACAGTACCCACTTACAGGGTTGCCTGAGGACTTAGCATTTTAATGTGAGCAAAGTTTTTTTTCTAATTATAAATTTTTTCCTCGATCTATTTTTATCCTATAACTAGAAAGAATAGGAAATGCACACTTTTAAAACTGACATTTAACACCTGCCCACCTCCCTTTCCTATCTCTGACCCTCTTGTTCATGCTGGTATCTGATAGGCTGAAGGCACAGGGTTCCCTCCAAAAACCACTGTTTATACCACTGCAAAAACAAGCCAGCAGCAAGACAACATAGAGAGGTTGGCTAGCTTCCCTCTCTTCTAACTGCATGTTCAAAAATAAGCTTTTATTGATCTTGAACATCTGTCAGATGAGTCATACATTGGGTTATTTTTTTATATACAGTATACACACTATTTCAAATTGAAAGCAACATCTCAATGGATTCAAAACTATTGAGTGCTGTTGTCTATAACAGACTAGAAAATTTGTAAATGTAAAAATTAAACAAATGCACATATTATTTAAAATGCATAATGAAAACCCATTGGTGTTGTGTTTTTCTTGTATGCCAGTAATTAAGCCACTACCGTTGGCATTGTTTGGTTTTCTATTTTAACACTGAAGGAGTGAAAGTATTTCCTATATTTATGAATTTACTATGAAAATCTTGGCAAAAAAAGAAAAAAATGTTTGTCTGAAATGTGTGGGTGAAAATTGTTAATCAAGTGTGTTTCTACTTTTTCGCCCCAAGTTGAACACCATCTGTAAACCCTAGGTTGCTTCAGGGGATTTCATTATTATATAAAAGTCATAAAATTAAAATGGAGTAGTTGTATATATGCAACATTATGTACAGAGGGGAAGTGTTGAATAGTATTAAACATTTTCGTCTTCCTTTACCTTTTATCCCCTACCTAATATCTAGTCTACTTTTTTAAATTTCAAGTTTCACTGCTCTTTGAATTGATAATTTCAATTTTCACATTGTTATTGGAAACCATATTAATAAAGGTTTTAGTTATTCCCATGCACAGTATGAAAATTCTCGGTTGCTGAGGTTTTGTTTCAAGAAAATGTATTGGTATGTCTTTGAGATCAAGTTTTATTGTCTCCTCTGTCATACAATCCAAACTAATCTACATTTATGAAGTTTTGACTGAAATGAAAGACCTTAAAATTAAACTATATTTAATATTAAATATTGTTCAAATGGTAGTTTCTAATGCACCAAATATACCTCGATTATTTTCAGTATTTCCTTAAATATAACATCAAATTAGAGTTTCTTATAGATTATGAATCTTGATAATGTATCAGTGTTTTTAAATAAGGTTATAGGATTTTAGATAACTTTTTGAGAGTAGTATTTATAAACTTGTAATTAGTTGCATGTGGATTTTATTTATTTCTTCAACATACAGAGTTTCCCACAGTTTCACTAATCTATAACTTATTTTTTAATTTATACAAGTTAATTCTGATTTTGTTTGGGTTTCAGTATGTCTTTTTTAATGGCTGACATTAGCATAAAATCTTCACTTTTTTGTAAACCTAAGCCATCCATTTTTATAGAAGCTATTCATTTATCAGTATTAAATAAAAGATGTTAATCTGTTTCTCTGCAGGTAACAGAATGGTGATTACTAATCTACATGTCTTACCAGGATAATGACTGCTACGTTCACCTCTGGAAGAGACCAGAGTGTAGAGCAGGGGTGGCCATACCATAGCAGTGTGGCTGTGTTCAGTCCCAGATATAGTCCCTGAAGCAAGCATTTAGGAAAAGTTATTAGGAATTATATTAATATACACCATGTCTTTGGGAGGATCTAGCACAATGACTTAAGCATAGTAGGCATTCCATAAGTGTTTGTGAAATAAATGACCTAAAACTACATTAAAACCTTGGTTATAAAAATGTCAGTTCTGTTTTGGTGAATGTTGATCCCTTCTGAAGTTGAGTTTTACAGTTGATGAGGTTGGCCACCCTTGCAATAATAGCACTTTACTTCGGTTTTTACAAACAGAAACTAGATATACAGCTAGGAATCCAGAATTTTGTTACTATGAGAGAAATATCTTTTAAGTAACTTTTTGAGAGGTAATTCCCCCTCTAGTTTTTTTTAAAAGCACGGGTGATAGATAGAAATTTGTCAATTATACTTGGTATCTGAATCCTACATTTAAGTGCTTCCTACCAGAGTCTTTTTTAAAAGTCCCTTTTAACATCCTTTAAATAAACTCAAAAAGGAATTTCCTCAATCTGAAAGAAAGATAAAATGAATGGACTTAATAATGAAAGAGTAAAAACCCTTCCCCCTAAGATCAAAAATGCCTCCTGTTGCCACTTATTTTTAGCATTGTATATAGGATTTTGTTCATTGTTGTTGTTGAGGTGCTACTGTGTCTGACTCTGACCCCATGATCTGCAGAACACTAGACTCCTTTGTCCTCCACTTTCTTCCCAAGTTTGCTCAAATTCATGTCCATTGAGTCAGTGATGCTATCTAACCATTTCATCCTCTCCTTTTGCCTTCAGTCTTTCAATAAGGGTTTAGCCAGGGCAGTTAGGCAGGAAGAAATAAGACATTCAGTGGGAAAGGAAGAAGTGAAATGTATTCTCAGATGACTCATGTCACAGAAAACCCTGAAGAATCCACAAAGAGCTAATGACTTGTTTGCAAGGCATAAGATTAATATACAAAAAATCAGTTGTATTTCTATACAGCAGCAGTGAAATTAAGTGAAATTAAGAAAATTACACTTACAGTATTGTTTAGTCACTAAATTGTGTTAGACTCTTGCCACCCCATGGACTGTAACCTGTCAGGCTCCTCAGTCAATAGCTCCCAGGCAAGCATACTGCAGTGCAGTGGGCTGTCATTTCCTTCTCCAGGGGATCTTCCCAACACAGGAATTGAAGTCTGCTGCTTGGCTGGCAGGTTCTTTACCACTGAGCCACCGCCTAGTAAGAATAGATTCCACCCCCCTCTTTTTTTTGCTGTAACTTCTGGCTTCTGGGATTTTAGTTCCCCAATCAGGGATTGAACACATGCCCTTGACAGTTAAAGCACAGAGTCCTAACCACTGACCACCAGGGAATTCCCAAGGATAGATACCTTCTACTGACCAAAGGAATAAAATTGAGTGTCTAGAAATAAACCTTTAAGTTTATGGTCAATTGATTTTCAACAGGGGTTCCTAGGGGGCTTCCCTCATAGCTCAGTGAATCCACCTGCAATACAGGAGACCCCGGTTCTATTCTTGGGTGGGGAAGATCTGATGGAGAAGGGATAGGCTACCCACTCCAGTATTCTTGGGCTTCCCTTGTGGCCTAGCCAGTAAAGAATCCACCTCCAATTCGATCCCTGGGTTGGGAAGATCTGCGGGAAAAGGGGAAGCCTACCCACTCCAGTATTCTGGCCTGGAGTATTTCATGTGGTTGCAAAGAGTCATTCACGACTAAGCACCTTTCATATTCCTAGGTGGCACTAGCGGTAAAGTGTCCACCTGCCAATGCAGGAGACAGGAAACTGAACCTATCTCTGGTTTGAGAAGATCCCCTGGAGGAGGGAATGGCAAGCCGCTGCAGTATTCTTGCTGGGGAATACTATGGACAGAGGTGCCTGGTGCGCTATAGTCCATAGGATCACAAACAATTGGACATGACTGAAGTCACTTAGCACATACTTATGCACAATTTTTAACAAGGGTCCCAAAACCAGTGTAGGAAAGAATCTTAAAAATGGCTCTGAGACAGCTGGGCATATTCTTAGGAAAAAATACAGGTGTAAATTGTGGTGACTGAACTAGTTAAGTTTCTTGGCTATAACACCAAAGACCAAGAAACAAAAACATGATTTAGATTTCATCAAAACTTTGTGCTTCAAAGGTTACTTTGGAAAAGTGAAAAGACTGCAGAGGATGGGAAAAAATATCTGCTAATCTTGAGTATATTCAGAACTCAACAAGAAAAACCCCAATTTAAAAACAGTGAAGAATCCAATTAGATCTTTCTCCAAAGAAATAAATGGCCAGTATCTTAGGAAATGCTTAACATCTCTAGTCGTTCAGTTCAGTCACTCAGTCGTGTTCAACTTTTGCGACCCCGTGGACAGCAGCGCGCCAGGTTTCCCTGTCCATCACCAACTCCTGGAGGCTGCTCAAACTCATGTCCATTGAGTTGTTGATGCCACCCATCCATCTCATCCTTTTATCGTCCCCTTCTGCCTTCAATCTTTCCCAGCATCAGGGTCTTTTCCAGGGAGTCAGTTCTTTGCATCATGTGGCCAAAGTATTGGAGTTTCATCTTCAGCATCAGTCCTTCCAATGAATATTCAGGACTGATCTAGCAGTCCAAGGGATCCTCAAGAGTCTTCTCCAACACCACAGTTCAAAAGCATCAATTCTTCAGCTCTCAGCTTTATAGTCCAACTCACATCCATACGTGACTACTGGAAAAAC